TGGTTCTAGGTGACAGCGGCAACAATGTGCTCCGAGTCGTCTCCATGGAGATCCCAGTCAGGATTCCAGGCCTGCACACCAGCAACATCCAGCAACCAATATCAGTGTTTAATACTGTTTATATAGCTTGGGCATCCACTGGCCAGGCACCAATGAGTTTCAAGCCAATGTGATCCTCACTGCTGCGGGGGGCTCCGCTGGCCAATCTCAGGGCAAGGGCGATGGTGGGGTGGCTTGGCTGGCGCGGATGCAGGCGACAGCGGGCCTTGAGGGGAGTACAGGAGAGTGCAGGCCAGAGCGAGCACGAAGCTAGTTCCTCTCTGCTTGCAGGGCCCCTCTGGGGTTGCCGTCTCTTCTGCCTTCGTCAGCAACGAGGACCGTGCTGCCAGGTTCCACTCGTCACGCAGCTTTGATCAGAGGCCACAAGTCTCATGAGGAATTCGTTGGCATCTTGTTATACCGTGGTGCTCCTGTTGTAGCTACCACGATCTGCAAAGATTTCACAATCCTTGCTGTTTTGCGGACCTTTCCTTCTTGCAGGACGGTACTTTGCCGGTCAACGTCTACATCTCGGAAAGTATGGGACACCAGGTGCAAGCCTTGGCTCGGATGATGATAAGTGCTCCATCAAACGAATGGTGCAAATAAGTTTTTTGGCATATTCATGCCTGCTAATTTCTATCACGTGCTGCATGTGACTTCTACCACTACGAAATCACTACCACTACCACACCTACCATGACCACTATCGAAATTATCATTACTATGTATGGTTTTGCTGGTGTTTACTGTCCTGGGTTCAAAGAGGTCCGCTCTATGTCGCTCGAGTTTGAGAGCTACCTCGGCGTCATCAACACGCTTCTTGACCGCACACTCGTAGGAGTTTGCAACGAGGACCAGAATCTGAAAATACCATTTCTCTCTTCCAGGGTTTGAGCCTAGTGAGTGGCAGACGGACGCTTGCCAATGCGCTGCGTTTGTTTTAACCGGATCGCCTGCGTTTAGCGAACCCGGTGCAAGCAATGACCTCAAGCTCAGGCTAGTGGGCTCCGGCCAGCGGGGCGACAACATCAAGGCGAGGACACGATTCGCAACAGCAACAACAGCAACAGCAACAGCAACAAAACAGCGATGGTGATGATTGTGAATGCCGAATTCCTTGCCTCTGGCATCTCAGGCCAAGTACAGTAACATCCCGTGCGGTGCATGCAGCCCATGGAAGCTCTTCACTATCTTGAGAGTGTGAGCCGAGAAATTGTGGAAGCCTTTCCCAGGAGGCTGCGCCATTGGAAGCCCAGAATGCAGAGCTCAACGAGCCGAGCGGCGTGGCCACTGACGCAGGTGCCGGGGGTGCCGGGAACTGGAAGCTGTGGGATTTGGGGAATAGGTGCTTTCGGGACAGCGGGTTAGTCAAATCAAGCACTCGACCATCCGTTGTCCTCTCCGGCGGAGTTGCGCAGTCTATTGGATTATCATGTTCCGCGATAAGTCCGCCGGCATAAAGTAGGACAACGACGACGGAGCATCGGAAAGGCCACTCACAGGAGTGCGATCCATGGCCCAAGAACGACAACACTTCGTTACGCCCAGCGTTGGCGCACACGGGACGAGGCGAGCAAACCAATGTGACGCCTGGCGAGCAGAGTACACGTGGGACTCGACAATCCAGCAGCTTTCAGCAAGCCAGCAAGAGCATGCAATTCAGATCCATTCACATCAATTCAGGTCGGGAACGGACAAGGCGGAGGCGCCATTCGCATCACTGCGACATCAGTAGAACGGACGCATGCAGATGCACGGACCGACGCCGTCCAAAAGCCCGGAAGGCAGGAAAGTGCATCCCTTCCACGTTTTTTGCAGAAAGTAGAGACGCAAGTCTAAACAGAGTGCGCCAGGATTGGGACTGAACTCAGCCAGAGTGCGATGGGTCACGTCGGGCAACGCCAAAGGTATGGGTCTTTCAATCTTGCGGCAACGCCTGTGCGAGAGCGTGATCTGGAGCCAAAATGAGCGGCCGCCTAGGCGAAAGCCACAGAACCGGCTGCGTGCGCCGCACGCCATCATGGGCCATCAGTGATGTTAACTTTCCCTACTCATAGTAACTTAGTAGTACCACAACAGAACACTGGTGGGAACCGAGGTGTGGTCTACCTCAGCGACTCTGCCAACCACCGCCTGCTGATGATGCGGCTTGGTCTGCGAATGTCTGTGACAATTCCCACGAATTCCTATCGTTTGTCTTCGGCCGTGAGCGGCCTTGAGTTTAGGTTCGAGCTCATTCGCAAAAGGCGAAGTTTGCTTCCACAACTGTCATCAGCATTTTGGACATTCTCTCGACGGCTGATGGCACAAGCAGAAATAAGAAAGCCATGTGTATAGCCATGCCAATTTGGTATGAATCGTAGTGTAGGAACTTCCTGCCTCTGCTGAGGCCCGCGTTGGAGTATGTCTCCATGGGCTGCTGGCGCGAGAACATTGAATCACCATGGATTCCAAGTATTGAAGGCAATGGTCCCGTTCAGAAGTTCTTTGCTGCTGCTTCTGTTTGTGTGGAAATGTTCTGGTGTCTTGTGGGGTGTCTGTGGCACTTCACAACCAACAGACTGTGTACTGTCACTGCTAGAACCATCTTGTTTACACAAGCAAAAGGCGCAAGACCCATGCGAACTCAACGCAAGCTCTCCATCCCGCAGGGCAGCCGCTTCCCTACGGCATCGACTACCTACAGGCAGTTGATAGGTGGAGGTTAGTGGTACGTACGGATGTGATGTGGAACCCGGCTGAGGAGCAAAGCTGCAAACGGCGAGAAAACTCAGCAGACTGCTTCCTTGCGCCCAGGGCATCCCCGAGAACCGGCCAGCTGCGATCACAGCGTCCGAGCACTCAGCTGCTGAAGCGGGAAGCTCCATGATTAATGCAGGCACCATTCCGAGCCTGAGGAGGAACATCAGCGATATTTTGAATCACATAGGCGCAGCCATTCCGTGCAGGCTGCCAGCAACAAGGCAGCCCAACTCTGTGATGCAAGTGAATGCTTCCATAAAATCTCGAAGCAGTGTTTCATCAGACAAGCACCAGATTCCGATGACACCCTGCTGTCTGAGCACCCTCCGGTGGTGGTATAAGTTTAGGTTGCGGAGGTTTGTCATGGTTTGTCTTCTGCTTTCTTTCTGAAACCGACTAAGGCTTTAAGGATGAGCAAGGCATAGCGTGTGCAGTTGAAGCTTCTGCCGAGGTGCGCACTGGCTACCTTGCGCTTGGGCTATGAGGTGTTTGCCATCCGTCAAATGGGAGTGTGCGCTACCTCCAAGGACCTAGAAAAATCTACAACGTGGCAGTATGCATTGCTGCATTGCTGTGTTGCCACGGAGGTTGAAGAGCTTGAGGGATGTTGAGGGCTTCCAAAGCGGCTCCAAGAATTCGATGTGTTGGAAGGGAAGGTTGCAGTATGTCACAAGAAAACACGAAGACCAATCAGTTTGTTGCACAACCACTCTTGCCGGTGCACGGCATCTCCGAATATACAGCTTCTAAAGATGGAGTCGTGATGAGTCGTGCAGCCTGGCCCCTAATCTGTCCAGACCCAGCTGCCGCAGACTTAGACCCGAAAGTAGAAGCTGGAGCAGTCGCAGTCGGGTGCCGAAACGCTCTGTTGAGACCAGTGCAGGCCCAGTATTCCGCATCAGATCCAAGGTGTTTGCCCTGTAGGGCACGAGGTTCCCGGCATGTGCAAGCTGTAAGACTGAAGCTTGCGGGCTGCCTGACACAACTCTAACCGGGTTCGTCTTTGCCTTTTGTTTACGGTACGCACTGCGAGGACGCGCACCTCTACTTCAGGCCCGTGCTTTCGGAAAATGTTGGGAGCCACAAAGGAGCCTTTCAACCCTTTTAACCCTGAAAATGCACCGAGGTCACGTTTAAGTCAAACTATTGAGACAGGATTGAAAAGCAAAAGCGAATTAATTAGCATACACTAGAAGGTGCGTGCATTCGGTTTGCGCCGAACGCCGCTAGAGCAATCGTTTACTTTTTTTCCCGGAGTTGGGAGTGTGAGATGCCATGCATTTTCAGCACTGTTCGTCGAGACCATGCTGCAACGAAGGAAGGGCTCAGCTTTGCTAGAGAAAGCCTCGTCTCAGTATGTAAGTCTTTGTCCTTTCCGAGGGGTAGTCGATCTTCTGCAAGACGACATAAGCCGAAATAAGCGGAATCTTGTAACCGGCTTCAGGATCGAGGTCTTAAGATAATTTCACATATGCGCACCGCATTCTTGTGGGCTCTGTGGGCAAGTCGTCTAGGCAAGACAACTGCAAGCTGCTTCTGTTCCATGGTGTTATGACGAATTCTTGAAGCAGTAATTGCTTGACACCGCAAGTTGCACAACGCCTGAACCCGTTTACACGGCCAGCCCAGAAGCACACGTAATACAGCGAGTAGGACAAAGAAATTCCAGCTCCCTGTGGGCCACTGTGGGCCAGGTTCGAGGGCTCTTCGACATCCTGCGATCAGGGTAAGGGCGGAGCTCGAGACAACTCTGTCTACAGGCTTTGATGTGGTACGGGCTCTGGAGGGGCTTTCGCTACGGAGAGATCATGCAGGTGGTTGTTTCTTTTTTTTGGGGCAAAGTCTGCCGTCGCATCATCGGGGTCTTGCAGCGTACCGAGAGTGGTAAGCAGGTGAACGCCTTCGTATCTTGCGCTTGCGGTTAAGGTAGGCATGGTAGGCACTCTTGTCTGCGCTTCTGGATCCTGGCTGTTTTGCCGAAGCCTGCTTGGAGGTTTGCACGTCAAGGCATGATGACTCAGCAGCAGGGCTTGGTCCACGACTCGGCTTCCCCCTCTCAGTTTCACAGCTGATAAAAGGGTTTCTCAGTTCAAGTTGCAGATGTTTATGCGCGGTCTCTCTTCAGCATGTGACGGAATGTCAAACTGTACCATGAGTGCACCAGGTCTACGTCCTGGCCGGAAGAGAGGGCAATGCTGGATTCGGAGGTGATCAAGGCGATGTCGGTGCTGCAGTCTCCTGTTGATTTGCGTTGCTGAGTGCAATACTTGTACAAGCTAAGTTGGGAAGTTATTCCGATGCGAGAGCATTCGCAGGCCACCCCATGTTCAACAAGGTTTTGCAAGGTGAACCCTCTCCCTGGCAGGTAGCGCTTGGATCACACAGCTCAGCCGGCACTGGACTTAGCTCACTGTGAACCTCAGCCAGCTATGCCCAGCTAGGAGGTCCGCATATTTTGTGCCGTGGTGCAATCACCTGGCAGAGTGCCATGGCAGAGTGCCATCGTCCGATCCCGAGGCCCAACGGCCTTGGTGTGAATCCTGTGACGAAGGCCAGGGGGTTCCAGCTCCGGAGCAGTCCCCAGGCACAAGCTAGACTAGATCTTGTGAAGTCGAAGATCGTGCGTGCGAAGTGACATGCAAGTAGTTAACCTGTTTGAAGTAAGTTGTGCGCAGGACATCTACGTCGCAGACTCCGGGAATAACCGGATCCGCCTGATCTTCAACCAGATGGGTCCGGACCTTGTCGAAGCCCGTGCCGGGTTCTGTGCCGCTAGAAGAGGATCGATCCCATCGGCAGGGAAAAAGCTCAGCAGCCGATGCAAAGAAGGTGACAGATGACTGAGGTCCTGCCGGCCACCACGCAGGCAAATGCACGAATGGGCTCTCCTGCAAGGCTGGGGATCTTCTGAACTCAAAGAAGGAGGGGGCGCTTGGGTCTCCGATGATGTTCAAAACTGCTGCCAGGTCGAGATCATGGGAAATGGCTTGCTGCCGGGCAACAAGCTGGCAGTGATTCCTATGGAACAGAGCTGTGGGCAGGCGGGGGGACATGAGATCCCGGGATTGTATGGCAAGCCAAGTGCTCAGCCTTAGGCAAGGAGAGCCTGGAATGTTTGCACGAAGTTAGATGTCCCAAGCTGTGCCCCCCGCGGGAGGCTGGCGTCATGTTCCAGCTGGGTCTCGCCACTAATCCGACGGTGGAAATCCCTTCGCAGCAAGCTCAAGGGTCCAGAATGTCCTGCACACCGCACGCGAGCTGCTAGCGAGGCACCTCTTTCCCATCCCTTTCCTGTTTCGTAAGGCCGTCCTTCACTCGGAAGACCTATGATTTTGGACCGCCTTCTGCGGCCTGGCCTGGACAGCTTGCTGGTTTTTTCTCGACCCTCACTGGTTCTTCGGTTCTTCTCTTATACAGGCATTCTGCTGCTGTGTGGCTCATAAGTTTCCTCGTGGGAGCTACGCGCTGCATGTCAATCCCGCTCGGCAGCTGTAGGTGTCCCGCACCGGCACCTATAGGCTCTGCTTCTGTGTGAAGGATGCTGTGGAGCGCTCAGAAGGCTTTTCCTGAAGAAGCTGATCCCCCCAAAATCCTCCCGTATCTTAAGTGGGCACTTCCTGGTACAGCATCCCAACGGCTTCTCCCGGGACAGCCCCCCAAAATACTAACTAGTCGTTAGTATGTTGGGTTGGCTTCTTCTTCGTCATTGTTGTGTGAGGATGCGGCTAAGTCTACTTCGTTACTTCGTATTTCTGCATGCTTTTCTGCAACCTGTGCTGCGGCCAGGTCACGGAATGATAGATCAGACTTGCTCGCGTTTGCTCACGGGTTCTTTGCGCGATGGTTCATTCGGCAGGCGATTGACAGCACCATGTTTAGGGACCTTTTGCAGCAAGATTGGGCTCAGGTTTCGACCATGGGGTTGTATGGCCTCCGCAGGTTTGTGGGGCTATAGGACTGGACCAGAACACACCACCCAAAAGCCGAACAAAAGTGAATGGCATCAAACTCACGCCACTAGAAACCCAGCCACCTATCCTAAGCCTGCATAGGGGAGCCCTTTCCGTCAGCCTAAGACTCGATTCAAAAGCCCGATACAATCGATACCCAAAACCCTGAGCCCTGAAACTCTAACCCCCGCCGAACAAGAAGCCCCTTAAGCCCTACACTTCCTCTGACCTGTAACAAGAAGCAGCGACCTTCTAAAGATCGGAATCCGATGCTGGCAAAACCTGTGACGCGAAACCCCAGTGGACAAGCATTACAAGTTGCAAACACCCAAGGTTTTGAGCTGGAGGGTCTTATAGGGTTGGTCGGATTCAGGGTTCGGGAGAATCGGCTGTCCCTGAAGTGGTTTCATGCGTTTTGTTAGAGGGTCTACGGCTTGTGACCTCGTTTGAGGATGCCCCGTTGCTTGAGGTGGTCTTCGGGCAGATCACGCCGTGTGGTGCCGCGGAGTTCTTTATCCACGATGCCGGGACTGCCAGCTCCTTAGGGGGCTCTTGGGCCCACTCGTGGAACAGCTGCTGCGTGGTGACTGACTGGACGGTGTGCTCTAGACCCCGAGAAAGTTTCACGTTAGCCAAGTCCGCGGACTGCATTGGAGGGGAGCCTGCTTGCTGCGCGGGGGGAGGGAAGAAAGAAAGGCTAGAATGAGGCGAGAAGAATGAGAAGAATAGTACAAAGTAAAAAACTATCAATTGCGATCAGCCCCGCCCTGCAGCTAAACGATGTGGGAGCCATCCTGCCGCTTTCGGACAGTAGTTTATTGAGGATGCTTCGCTGCAGGCTTCTGTCGCAGGGCTCTTCGTGGAATTTTCTGGGAGTGGGCACTCCAGGGATATTCGGCGGGACTGAGCGAGGAGGCGACGAGAATGGTTGATTTAAAAGTCTGGCAACTCCGCACTAAAGGTGGGGAATACACTAATCAATAGCAGATGACTACAAGTTCGCGGTGAGCGTTGGGACAGAGATCCTCAGGTCCGCATTGTCGGACCGGATAGCCGCGTCGACGACGCCGAAGTTGTCGAAGGGATGGTGGGGTCCCCAGCTTCTAGCACGAGACTTTGTGCACTTCACTCCATGTCTGAGTGTGTTCTGAAATTCGGGCCTCAACTACCTAAGTCCTAGCGTCGATCTGAAATGGAGAAGCCTCTAGTATTTGTAGGCTTTAGATTCGAAATCTCCAAGCCAAGAATTACACCTTGTCATTCAGCTTGCCGGGGTCCTTGTATTTAAAACCCTGAGTCTTTCTCGCCCTCAGCCTCTCTGTCTGCAGCCCGCAAGTAAAACTCATGCCAGCCTGGTCGGCCCTTTGCGCTGGCTATATTCGGCCACGAGCTCTCGCTCTTCGATCGCGTGCGCCTGGCAGGGGTCCCTGGAAGGGGAAGAGTCCTTTGCGGGATGGCATTGGTGTAGAATGGCGAATTCGGATATATGGGGATGCCCGGGGTACAGGGAGGTACGGACAATGTACATTGGGTTCTTATACAGCCCATTTCCAGTTCGAAGGTTTGCGTCTGACAGTATGCACGGCCTTCACACGGCACACCGTATGTGTGCATTTGGATATTCATTCTGGGCTTCCTTTCGATGGACCCCAGCTGTGTGAGTCTGATGGAGTATGCGAAACATGCACATGTCAAGTGTAGATGCGCGGGCGATTGTGGTTCCTCTCTTCGGGTCTTCACATTGAGGTGAAGGACTCGCAGCCCTGTGGAGTTCCGGGTGCAGAGGCCTGATTTCCGATGTAGAGTGCAGCGAATGCTGCAACAACGCACAACGGCACGCTTCGCAGCACGTTGTTGGGCTGTTGTCGCCGTGAAGGTGCTGGCCGACGAAGTCCAAAGCCGTTCAATCCTAAATGGGCCGGGGCCTTGACGCACTTTGAGTGCCCAAACGCCCCCAGTGTGCCATAGGCTCCGTGATTTGCCAGCCAGGCGGCGCTACCAGGGCAACGAATCCTTCAGCCTTTGGGTGAATGTCACGCTTCGTGCCTCCGGCAGCTTCCGCCTCTGCTTTTGCCTCAGTCAACCCTCAAGTGCTCTCGAATAAAGCTGAGATGTCGGAGCTGCAGTGCTCAAAGCTGCTTTGCAATGATTGCTTACCATGATTGCACTTTCTTGGTATTGCTCGGTCGCCGCAGGCTGGTGCCAGGGTGCCCAAATCGATGGCACCCGCCTGAACTGCACTGTGGGCGAGGACGGAACTTTCTGCTCTCAGATAGCCTTCTAATTATTCAATTATTGAATTTCCGGAGCCTCCACAAGTGCTGTGGCTCGTGAGCCATGGGGTGTTTCTTTTGGGTCAAGGGAGGGCTAACAGTCTCTGTGGCAGGGAGGGTTGAGGCTGCTGAGGGTCTTGCAGAGCTTTTGCGCCCGCTGCCATTTTCGAGCTCACAGGCAGAACTTGCCATCAGGAAAGGATCCCAGCAGAGGCAGGAGCAGAGGCCGCAGCAGCCCCTCGGGTTCGCATGCAGCCCCCTCGGCCCTATGGTGCTACGGTATAGCCTCAAGCCGAAAGGCCCAAAGGAGGCTTCTGGTACTAGGGAGAGCTTCCAGTATTTGTTATATTTGTTGATGATCGTAGTTGCTACTCCATGCTTTCGATGGGGTGCTGACAGGACGAACCGACAAGAGCAACTTGTAGAGGCTTTGGAAACTTTGGCCTTTAAAACGTCCACTAGTCTTTGCAAAGCGTGCAAATACAGAACGCTAAAGCGCCCCCAAAGGCGCAAACCTCCAACGCCCCCAACTCCCAACCCCCAAGGATGCTGTACGAAGCTCCCCAGAACTTGTCGTTGATGCTCCGAGGGCATGGCGGCCTGGCTCCTGTTGGGGCTTGCTTTGCCGGCCGCTGCGCAGGCAAGCACCGGAATGCTCTTCAGTTGTGCTGAGGTTTCCATATATAGAATATAGAAGTTCGCACGACATGATCACACCTAAAATGTCCAAGAAAGTCTGCACATCGAACCTTCAAGGCCCATCAACAGTCTGAGGGGAGCCTGGTCACTTGAGAGGTCGAACCTGGGGTGCTGTCAGATGTCATTATGGGGCGTGAGGGCTTTCATGGCTCTAAAACCCGAGCGGCAGTACAATCGCCAGAAACGCCAGGTGAACAAATCTCACTTCCTGGGTGCCCTGGCGCGTTTGGGGTTCTAAGGCGCGTTTGGGAGGAACGAGAAGACCCTCAAAACTCAAGGGGTTGAAGGGGATCACAGGGTCGATTGTTTCGGCCCTCCGAACTGAAAAGAACGGGTTGAGGCCTTCAGAGTTTGGGGTATGGAAGTCTTTTGTGAACCCAGCCAAGGAAAGCAGGCGGTGGATGTGAGCTCTGAAGGTGTCCGCTGTGGTGGAATCGATCTGCCTGAGAATGCGGGCTGTAAGCAAGTGGTGGAGTGGGCGGCTGGTGGCGGCAAGTGGGACAGCTCAGCTGGGGGATGGTTCCACAACATGCCAGCGATCGCCGGTGTCAGCCACGAACAGGGAAACCTTCAAGATTTCCAGCGGCTCTACTACTGTTCGCCGCCTGGGGACTCCTTCTGTCGTCTGCCGCCATGCACGGGATGCAGCAGTCCACCCTGCAACGATTGCTTTGCAGGCAATCAGCTCTATGCTAGCCTCCGGCCTGGTTGTGATGTCGATGATAAGGGTGTTGGCTGTGTGCCGCCTAAGACGGCCATGGGTTACAAAGGCCAGCACTGGCCGACCACGGTCATCCACGGCACGCAGGAGATGCACATCTTCGCCATTGGAGACTGGGGTGGCATGGATGGTTCCTTGGACCCACCGGACGGTCGACCCACCATTGTGGCTTACGACTGGGGGCGTCGGCCGGGGCCTAGTGTCTTCCCCCGGAGCAGGTGGAACAAGATGCATGATGTGGAGCTATGTGACCACAAGCAGCTTGTGGAGTGCTTCAACACCCGCGGGCAGCCTCCATGCACGCCAGGATGTGGCTATGTGGAAGGTGTGGACGACCAGCCGCAGATGCTAGTGGCCAATGCGTTCAAGGCCCGTGCTGCACTGGTTGATCCGCAGTACATCCTCAACGTCGGGGACTTACATGGGAGAACCGCTAGCGATTTTACATCCAATGTGATTTTGTTTTAACTGATTTGGAAGGTGGTTCTGTAGGCTGAAGCGGACACGGGCTGCAGGTTTTTTTTCTTGACTAGGTCTAGGTTTGGGCAAGTAGCAGCAATCTCTGCAGGCTTAATGGAGGCTCCAAAAAGCGCCCGGCTTGGAAAATGCATTTTTGCAGGCTGTGGGTTTTGGAGGCCGGCTTCCGAACTCCGCCTCAAAACGAAAAGAAACAAGATGAATAAGGTTCTGCGCTCAGGGTAAGAATGAACCCTAGCGATGAAACACCTCCTGCCTCAGGGGGAACCCGCAAGACCAGTGGCTGATGACGAAAAGCCCCCAAGCCCCAAAAACATCAACTACTTCAGGCCTATAAGTCATACAAACTCGAAACCCCCAAGATGCAGGGATCTAAGATGCAAAAACGTGCTCGCCGGCAACCACGATGCCGGGGTTGGGGTTTTGGCTTTTGGGGTTGAGGTCGGCGACATGAGAAATGCGTTTTTCTAAGCCTTCAAGTTGCATTTTGGCAAGCAGAGTCCGCTTGACGAGTGGATTACCGGGTGTAGTTGTGGCAGATTCCCAGGCTTCGTTTGGCATGCAAAGTGCGTTTGGTGGACATCCGCAAACAAATTGTACCGCTCAGAATATGTCCTCACTAATCTTGCGCAGTCGCGTCTCGCTGTGCCCACATATAAGCAAGGCATAGGCAACTTACACAGCGATTTGGATCGTCTGTTCGCAGCTCAAAACCCAAATCGTGCGAGTTGTGATTTGGCACATCTCCACAAGCAATTGGAAGGCGATTTGGGGTTGCGAGTCCAAATCGCTAGCGCTTTGCGATTTGTGCACGACGCCTTCTAAGGTCGGGGACAACTTCTACTGGGGTGGCATTGAGAAGACATGTGGGAGTCCGATGGACCAGATTTCTTTCCCGACGAAGCACCAGTTCGATCAGATCTTCGAAGGCGTCTATCAGGGTTCTGGTCTCAGCAACAAGCCCTGGTTCAGCGTGCTTGGTAACCACGACTGGGGAGGCTTTAAGTTCGACAACGGCTGGGATCAGCAGATCTCCTACACCTGGGCCAGCAGTCGCTGGGTCATGCCGGCACCCTACTACAAGACGTCCGTGCCTAGGATGCCCAGTAGTGCCCCACTTATCCCCTTGTTTTGGGGTTAAGAGATCCCTAAAGTAGCCTTCCTGGCAAGAAAAAACTAGCTTTTATTGCTACGTCGCTGGGCAACCTAGGTTGTCTATGCGGACCTCGGCTTTGACGTAGACTACTTCTTCCTGGACTCGAATTTCATCGACGCCATGCCGCCAGAGGAGGACCCCAACCACAACATGTGCAGCCGAAAGAACAACAAGCCTTCTGCCACCTGCGCAGCAGCAGACGGCCCCGAGTCCGTGGACAGCTGCCCTGAATGGTTTGCTTCGCTTTGGGCAGAGCAGAAACCATGGGTCACGCAGCTCATGTCACAGAGCAAGGCCAACTGGCAAATTGTGGTCACCCACTTCCCCTGCGGGCATGAACAGGACTTCTACGCGTCTTTGAGCAGCCTTGGGATGGATCTCCTTGTCACAGGACACCGGCATGACCAGGAGCTGTGGCTTCCGGATGACTATGCCAAGAACCACATGGGCGTCACTTGCATCGTCACCGGCGGCGGTGGCTGAGGGAGGGAGGGAGCAAGGAAGGTTTCGGGTGTTTGGAGTCTTTAGGGTCCAGGGTTTAGGGTCAGGGGAGGGTGAGTATTGGTTCTTGCAGCTTTTCTGTTCGAGGGCTTGACAGACAGATGCCGACCATCGACATCAGCCCATGTGCCCTGAAGGTGGAGGCATCACGTCCGAGGCCACACCGAATCCGGAGGAAACCGAAGACTGGTACGGCGAGGCGCAGTATGGATTCTACGACCTCACTATTAGCAAGTCAGAGATCTTGATTGAGTCCATCAACTATGACGGCGAAGTGCTCCTGACACACACTGTGCACCCATCACGGTGATGTGGCAATCGATTGCAAGTTTTGCTTAATTCGTTCGGTACTTCTAATGTATGTGGACGTAGAAACCTCCACATAGCGCCGAGTCATTTTCCACTTTTGGTCCCCACAAGGTGGACGTTCTCTGTTTAGACGTTAAGCCAGGTAGGGAGCAAAATGGAGAAGGAGAGTCATGAGGACTCATTCCTGGATTGCTTCCAAATTGCTTCCTGCCTGTAGCCTTTACTGCCGGATGCTGGCTTGAAGGAGCATTTTTCGCCTGCAACAACCTACCCAGCCTGCAATTTTAATCTCCTTAAGGGCACGAACAAGTCCAGCGTTGAGTGAACGAGGCCCGAGCCTTCCCGGCTGAAGCTGAAGCGCTTCGCTTTCCAGAATTCGCAAGTTTGAGAAAGGTACAGCTCGATTGTTCAATTTACTTTGAGGTTCCGGGGCGCAGGCGTAAGTGGCTACGAGGGTATAAGAGATTTGAAAGTATGTAACGGTGTAACGTAAGGTAAAAGTTCTTTTCGCATGGTATCTGTAGTCACTGTCGAAACCCCGAGCTGGAAGTAAGGGGCTAGTCGTCAGAGAGCTGCCTTTGAATTTGACAGCATCTGCATATCCTTTTCATGTCAGTTGCATTGTCGGAGAAGAGCTCTCATGGCCAGGACTTTCGAGTGGAGGCCGCGCGCGTCAACATCCGAGGCTCTCCGTGGCAGCCGCTGGCCCTGCGCCACTGGATTTGATCAATATGCGCAGAGGCCCAATCCAGTACTTCGGCAACATCCGCATCGGCAGCTATGAGGACGCCCGTGTGGTTTGGAATGGGTTGACGTCTCTTTGGAAGGCTTTTATGAAGCCTTTTGTTTCATATCGTTTGCATGCTTGGGCTGCCGACAACGCCATACGGCAAAGCTACACTACACCACGGAATCCTATTCAGCAGCCCGCAATGTAGTAGATTGCAGTTATGCCCGGGGTAACTAACCTATGCCCAAGAAAGAAAGATTGAGATCCCCAGGCCACTCAGAAGAAGAGGGAGCGCACGACTAGCGGTGCCAGAAGTAGCCACAAACTGAGCCATTGTTGAGAATCTAAATCGAGGTTGTATCTGCGCAAGGGACAGAGGCTCTGTGTGCAAAACGCCCTTAAGGCATGTCTCTGGCGCTCAGCTTCGTACAACACTTACTTGCGTGCTGCATACAGTGTCTATAAAGCTTAAAAAGTATTCACGTACACACGCACATACAAATGAAGAGTTAAAATAAAAATGGATAATTGTCCTCAAGTAAACGATGTTTGTAGTACCTACGGGAGGAGCATCAAGTGGGCTGCAACAAGATACGTGCAGAGCACAGACTATCTACATACACAGCCCCCCCCTCCCCCCCCCTCCCCCCCCCCTCCCCCCCCCTCCCCCCCTCCCCCCCCTCCCCCCCCCCCCCCCCCCCCCCCCTCCCCCTCCCCCCCCCCCCCTCCCCCCCCTCCCCCTCCCTCCCCCCCCCTCCCCCCCCTCCCCCCCCCAGCCCCCCCCCTCCCCCCCCCCTCCCCCCCCCTCCCCCCCCCGCCCCCCCCCTCCTCCCCCCCCCCCCCCCATCCCCCCCCTCCCCCCCCTCCCCCCCCCCTCCCCCCCCCCCTCCCCCCTCCCCCATCCCCCCCCTCCCCCCCTCCCCCCTGTCTTGCGGGGTCCGCTTGCCAAGTCATCGATAGGGTTTCCCTTGCTTCACATTTGCCGACATGCGAGGAATCCACCTTCAAAAACACATAAGTCAATGGGGGGGGTAGCATGGTTATGGCTTATATGTATAGTTAAATTGATGTGTCTATTTGGCCTTATCTCTCAGCTCTGCCCTCGAACATCCGAAATCTTGACAGGAGATCACGGTCAAGGGTGGCCAAATGGCTGGCTTCAGCCACTAAGCTGAAAATGCCTCGGGGCCTCCTTCTGTGGCAAGAAATTATTGCACGAGATTGCCAGGCTCCAGCGATCGCATTCGGCTTGTAGACGCCGGGACTGTGCAGTGTGGCAGCCCCGAGGCTCAGGCCAGGCTTGGATTGTTACGCAAGGTCTTCTTTCAGTTCTTTCGATCGTTAACCTTTCAGCACTGCCAGTTTCTCCAGAAGGAGGGAGGGAGAGAGTCAGAGAAAGAGAGAGAGAGAGGGACAGTGCCCCTTGGGGCGACCCCTCTCGAGGGGTTAAGCGCGCTGCAAGCAAGCAAGCAAGTGAGGGACAGCAATGCACGTTTTCACCTCGCAACCCGCCTGTTTGATTTTGTGCGCAAAGACGCTTCTCTAAGGTACTCGGGCGGGGGCTCCACTGGCTGATGGGGGTGATGGGGGGTGTACGGGGGGACAAACTTGAGCGTGCGGGGGAAGAAAGTGGAGCTCCCGTCCACGCCCGGGGGTTCGCCCCCAAGCCCCAAGAAACAAAGAAAGAAAAGAGAGAGAGAGAGAGAGAGAGAGACTGCGTGCCTAGGCGCGAGGGGTTACCCGGGGCCCCAAATGCCCTGCAGAAGAAGAAGAAGAAGAAGAAGAAGAAGAAGAAGAAGAAGAAGAAGAAGAAGAAGAAGAAGAAGAGGAAGAGAGACTTCTAGTTCTGTTTGTGGGCCGAGCCCAGTACTCCTACTTTCACCAGCATACCTGTGCAAACCCACAGTGCCCATGTAGACTCGTCCTGTCTACGCTGGTTTCGTCGTAAGGGGGAGGAGTATGCAATAACAACATCAGAAGCCATACGTGCTGCTTCATTGCTACCGCCCACGAACGCGTGGGAATCCTGGGACTCGAGCGCGCTTCGGTGCGACCCCCTCGGACTCTTTGCTCGCAGAGAAAGAGCGAGAGCGAGAGGAGAGAAAGAGAGAGATAGAGAGAGAGAGAGAGAGAGAGACAGAGATAGAGAGCGAAGAACAAAAACGACATTCATACAGGGTGCGTTGCTAGTCTTGTTTATTCTTAGCAGTTTAGTAGTAGCAGCATGCACCATGAATCTGACGAAGCCGAAAGGCCTTCAGCAATGCCATCGAAGATGAGCAAATGGATGCAGTGCCCAGATCTTGGCATGCTATGTGAGTCAACAGCACGGACCTGTGCTTCGTTCCTTCTAGAAACGTTTCACGCAACATCTGAATAATTCTGTAAGGGGCTTCCGAACGACTACCAATTGCCAAGACCCCCCGGCCCCGTGCCAGGGACTGCAATGAGTTGAGCACCCAAGGCCCTACCGCGCGCCGAACCGCATCACTGCAGATTCAGTGACCTGGACCAATGTCAAGGTGGCTCTGACACCGGTTTTGTGGTCGATTGTCCATCGCTTGTACCTGGAACTCTTCCGCTCCCTCAGGAAGCCCTCAGTGCGGGGAGCAGGCAGCCCTAAAACTTGAGATAGCATGCTTAGAATCCCCAAATCCTCTTCGAACATCTTCGAAAGCTACCCTTCCTCCTCTTCCAGTCCGCTGGTCCGTTGCGGTCTGCCAGGTTCGTGCAAGTCACCCCCTGCGCATCTGCTGGTGTGGCGACACGGAAGGATGTCGCAGCCTTGGATCTTTTCTGTGACGGTTTCGGGGGTTCGGAGAACGAAGTGGGCAGGACTTGCTCGAATCTGCAGATTTGATTCCACGCCTATGGACAGTGAGGTCTGCTAGGAAAATTGTTCAGAAGCAGTCGCCTGTGAAGTGATGAGCACCTCGCATGTGACCTATCCTTCTCTTTCGGAAAGCTCGAGCAGGACATTGGATGTCAGTGTGCAAGACTCAAGTCCGAGCTATGGATGGCTGAGGCGGCCGCGGAGAGGACTTCGTGGCAGGAGCCCCAGCTTTCCGGCTAGAAGCATCCGGCAATCAATTCTAGAAGGCCGGGGGGGACTGCCATTGACCGTCACTACTTTGACCCACATGGCGGCCCAGATCGATGCGGCACTCATCGCTCCTCTGGGCCCCGCCACCCAGCCCCGGCAGATCCTGGAGGCAGATCCTGGAGGATACACAGAGGATACAGGATCCTAGGTCTTGCAGGATGTTGAGTACTGCTACTTTGGGTTCCATGCTGTGACCATTTGTAGAAATGCTAGTGTACTCTCTGCCGGTCACGTTGGAACTGTTTTGGAGCCAGGCTTCAGGACTTGTCTGAATTTCTGCTCGGACTCTTGCTGGGCTGAAGGCTTCAGGTTTCAGAGCCGTGGTTTAGTGTTTTGCAGACTGTTTGTTGTAATTCTGCATGAACTTTTGGTAAGCTTTGCACTGGTGTAGGTTCCTCTGTACTCACACGCCACCCAGCCGACATTGCGACATCTGACGACCTGACGCACGGGCTCGAGCAGAATACGTCCTTTTTCTCTTAGCTGATGTGAAAGCGCTGTCTTTTGACGGAACCTTAAAGGGCTCCAGTACACTTCGGCAATGCCGTTGCGACTCTTGGCTTTCGCCGCCTTGGGCGCTGCGCGAGCGCAGCTGAGCGAGCTAGCCGTGCGCATCCGAGCTGAGGGGTGCAGTGCTGGTGTACTCGCTGTGTTGCGGCACTCCCTACGCTTGCATCCCTAGCCGCAGAGCCCAGGCAGACGACGAATGCACGAACGAAGGCTGCGCCCTCTCGGCCCTCCATCTCCGCAGCGCGAAGCGCAGCGAGGCCTGGCATCTGAGTGCTTGCTGTCTTGCCATGACGGGGCCATGTGCGGCCACCTGTTGGTCAGTGGTTTCTGATTGCAAGGAGGCGGTGGCTGTGGACACAGGATGCCATGACGTCCAGCCAGGACCTTCGCTTGCACGCGGCTTTATCATAAAACAAAGAATTGCCTTCTATTGATGCTATGTCTCTTTGAGCTCAAGCTGTTGCATTCAGGTTGTCGCCTTTCGGTTTCTGCGATGTACTGATGTACATGCATGCGATAGCTGAGGAGAGGGTGGTGCATGCTGGGAGGTGGCTTGGTCAGCAAGACGAACCTGTTGGCACTGCCGGAGAGGGAAGTGTAAGAAAATGTACGGGATTTGCTTCTTGGAAGTGCTCCAGTGAGCACGCGCTGTGCCAGCTTTAGAGGCTTGACTTGTGTTCGTGTAGATTGGGTCAGTTGCCTCTGTCCCTCTGCTTCTGATGCGAATTGGCTCGTCTGAAGACAGGCCATCATGTGGGGCAAGAATGTCGGCATGCCGCAGCATCCGGATTGGTATCCGGGGATGACAGAGGACTCCCCTTTGTCTGAGTGGCAGTTCAAATCGTACAACACCACGTGCCACAGCAGCAAGCAGCATTGATCCAATCGTCATTTTAGTCGCTTTGCGTCCACTGCCTCGACCCGACCCGGCACGCAAGATTGTTTTCAGAGGGTTCATAGATACGGTCCATAGTCAACTCGCCGGCCCCTCGCCACCCGACACCCTCCACCCCCGGCGGGGCGGGGGGGGGGGGGGGGCCGTGGCAACATCGGGGGTCCCTGCAAAAAGGGTATTATGCCAGTGACGCCACATTGGGAGGGGCCGTGACGAATGTGCGGTGAAGGTCCAGACTGTCTAGCACTGTAAGTCCAGATTCCATGCTTTACACACCTTTGCCCAGAAAGTCATGTCAATGTGACAGCGTGTTCCGCCCCTCCCGAACAGTCGAAGCTTGGTTTTGCTCTCGTTACACGGTCCACGGGCTTTATATGGTTTTCAATGAGTTTAAAGGGGCAGCGAGGCCCACCAATTGATTTTAAAGCCGCGCCACACGGAATTTTCTTACGACACCCGGACGATTTGACTTAATTGCGGAACCCCACTCTGGACCCCCAAGCAGCCAAAGGGTCCTGAATAGCCCGGCCAACTTGACTTGCGGGGCCGATCCTGTCGTCCCAGGCACCCGAAGTGCCCTCGGCCCTGCAATGTTCCCGCGCCTGCATCCTGGCGGATAATTAATAGGCTAAGTCTTGGATGCAAAGAATTGGCAGCTTGACATTTTGAGTGCCTTCCCATTCTGTTTATGACTCTCCCCAACTTCTCCTTCGTGAAGTTAAACGACTTCCGTGAACGTGAAGAGAATCACTCACAGCCCGCAAGCGTAGTCTTGCCTCTGCAGTGCTGTGAGCACCCTACCCGCACAGTAAAACAACAGTCAACTTAACTGATGCTGATTTCCGTTGAAGTCCTTAGAAAATCCAGCTAGGGATAGAAAATCCAGCTAGGGATCTGTAGGGTACTGCGTGTTGTGCTCCCAGCACTCAGGGTGGATGCACAGACATCCCCGCCCCAACGCTCTGGAAGCCTGCGGCAGCGGGTGGCAGCCTCCAAATCAAGGTGCCCAGGGCCTTGGGCATATCAGGGCCCGGGATGAAGAGGATGTGTGAAAGTCATTGATCAGGTTGGCAGTTTGTACACATATAAATGCAGTGTATGTACACATAAATATAGATAGAAAATAATTATATAAAAACAAATATACATAATAATATAAATATACATATAAGTATAAGTATAAGTACAAATAGATAAATATAAATATAAATAAGTAAGTAAATAAATAGATATAAATATAAATAAATATAAATATATATATATACACACATGCACGGATGCATACATAAATGCAGAAGTAAATATTTGTGCGTGTGTGCAATGTTACATTGCTTGAATCGGATTTTCCGCCCTGGGGCTGCAAGATGTCGGAAGCAGCCTTTTGGGGCCATCTGAAGGAGTGATGCTTCGAGGGCCTCGTGACCTTGGGTAGGGTTACACCTGGTTGCAGAATTGCATCATGCAGCACAATCAGCATAGTACAACTTCAGGTGTGAGGGAGGTCGTGCAAAATAGCAGGAATGTAACCTCAAGATCTGAAGATTGTCGGCGAGAAATGGTTCTTCAGAACAAGGCTGAGACCTTTGAGTGCCATCGCAAGGGGAAGACTCGACACATCCCAAGCCAAGTTCAGTTGCGCGTGTCCAATCTTTTTGCTGACTTAGTTCTGCTTCTGGTGAGGTGTTGTCCTACAACCTCTTCTGGTGGCACTTGTTCAAGGCACATTTTGGAGCAGACCTGTGAAGCCGCAGTGGCACTCACTCACCTCATCTGCCAGTTCTGACACCTTAGTGGTTGTGAGTTGTGAATCCAGCTGAGCGCCTTCTTACGAGAGGTAGCAGCAGTTGTGCTAGTTTTCTGTCGTGTTGGTTAGGTAGAAGGTGGGCGCGGTGACAGCGCTGGACACCTGATTCAGAACACGGACACGCCGCCTTACGATGCCACCTTGCCGAAGAAGCCAGTTCAGGTGCGAGGATTGCTCCAGCTCGGAAGTCCTGGGGATCCTGGTAGAATCTGGTAGAATGTTACAACTTGTCATGGTCCGACAAGCTGCCCGGATCGATAGCATCTTTTCTTGGTATCCTTGCCCTCGCTTGTGCAGCGAGCTCAGGTTATGGGATTCCAGGAGTGCGAGGACTTTGGACATGCTGTGGCTTTTGGTTATGCCAACACTTGCGACGACTGGAGCAGCAGCAGACAGTCCCACCACATTTCGGCAGGATCCGGTGAAAGTACTGGGCCCCGTGGGACTTTTAGAGCCGCTCGGCACTGCCAGGTCGTCTCTGTTCACTATCGGGTTGCGCTCTCTGCGACGGAGCAAGAAGCTGGACATCCCGTCAAACTAAGCCCAACCAGTGGCCAATGCCGAAAGCCACACCAAGCCAGAGCCTGCAGGGCCGACATATGCTACATGTAAAGGCCTATACATGCTTGTCAGCACCAACGCTGAGGCAGTACGAGGCTTTCCAGGGCAACCACGCGATTTGCGTGGCCTATCGGAAAGCTACATGGTCGACTCCTCGGTTGCTCAGACTGAGCCAAGGGCATTGCCAGGTGCGGGCCACGTTGCTGTCGCTACTGCTGAGGTCTTTGCTGGAGCATGGGGCAGCTTGCCTGGCATAACTAGAAGACAATGCGTCCAAGAGATGCCGTCAGTAGAGTAGTCCTCGAAGCTGAGGAAACAGACGTTGCTGAAGACATGCGAACGGCCCCTCAGATGCACCATCATCAGAGATGACTGACGGATCGCTGACGGATCGCTGACGGAGGGCATGGATGGCATGGAATTGAGCCTTGCACGAACTCTCATTAAGTTACGAAGCTGACAGTCTCTGTGCCTGAGGAGTATTACGGCACTCGTGGCACGCAATGGATCAGGCTGCAGCACAAGGCGGCTGTGCATGTCGCAGGACACCAAACAGAGGCTACGATCGAGCACAAGGGGAAATCGCCGGAAATCGCCAGCATGTCTGTCTGCAACATATTTCGCAGGCTGTGCAGTACTTGCTGTTTTCTTGAAATCACAGAGATTTTAGGGAGTAGCATTAATGAACCAGAGTCCTATGTGGCCTGTGTAGGTCTGGCGTATTGTAGTCCCCTCGACTCCTGGCGCACATATCATATCCTGATGAATCCAAAGAGCAATGATGCCGGCAAAAGCTCATGCTGGCTTCCATCCGACTGCTATATAGAATGTCAACCTTGGTACAGGCCACGAACCGGAAGTTGTTCTTCGTGACGCTCGGATGCGGAGTAAGCAACGAGCGGCAGCCCGCAGCAGCCCAGCACCGGGGTTTTCCGGTAGGACTCGATGAGGTGTATCTGATTCAACTGATTCAGGACGGGCGCTTGAACTCTGAGGTTGTCCAGGGCTGACCCAATTTTGACATGCAGTTTCAAAGGTCAAGGGCGGTTGAGTCGGCATTGGTGCTCGTCCATGGGCTTTGTATCCAAGCCCTGCTTGCAAAGCATGTTCAGGGCTATGCCAAGCTATGCCAAACTATGCCAAGCTATGCCAAGCGATGCCAAGCTATGCCAAAGGAATCACCACGGCCCGCTCTCGGTCAATTCCGGCGGCCTCTGCGGTGGTAAGGCAACTGCTGGGCAAATCATGGCGAATGAGGGCATTCTCTTGACTGCTACAGGTTTTGTCTTGAGACCAGGCAGAGCAGATCAGAAGCTGGCATAGCAGGCATGTTCATGTTGGCCGCTTCGGGCCCACCAGTACAGCGAAGGAGACCGCGCACAAGATCCTGCACGTCATGGCAAAGCATGCGCAGGCCACACGACTCCATGGGATTCACCAGAGTCTGAATGGGCGGGATCTCAGGACTTGAATCTCCAGGCGCAAACGGGCCACTCTCGTTGAGTTGCCCACTCGCAGGCCTAAAAAGGCATCTCCCATCCAACATTCCGGGATCCGGAGACGAACTTCAGATAACATCCCAGCTCCGCAGGTGGGGGACACGCTGGTGCTTGTTGGGGACTTCAACGCAAACGCGGCATCCCGGACGCTGCAGGCCTTCGCCTTTCAGATTCAGCTTGAAACTACTGTCACTACTGTCATCACGTACTGCATCTCTGCATCTCTTGACAAGTACGTCATGTTGCTCGTTGAAAGTACCCGACTCTTACCTCCATTTTTTCCTTCGGGTTTGCAGGTATAAGTATCAACAGCCTTGGTTCCCATTGGAGACCTGGGAGCTTCGCGGGACTGCACATGGTCGTCGGAGAAAGTTGGACCATATCCTGGCAGTACAACAGTTGTATTTAGAAATAGAGCTCCAGCATTAGCTGTCGAACGCGTGTCCCTCAACAAAGCCAACAGAGCCCTTTAGCTGTCACACGCTCAACGCGCCCAGAGAGACCAAGAAGATCTCAACAAATTAGCGAACACGCAGAACAGGCCTTGTGGCCTCATCTGCACCATGTGTGCCCCGGCTGAAAGCTTCGTGTGTGATTTTGTAAGTGTTGGGCGCAATAGGGTGGAAGGCATGATGGAGGGCCTTAAATTTGTTCTTTCCATTCGAATTCCTGCATGGCAACAAACAGTTCGTCAGATTCGCATGGGGGTTGCCGGATTGCGCAGACAAACGTGCACAGGCACGAAAATACTCCCCCCCCCCTCTCGCTCTCTCTCTCTCTCTCTCTCCTTATCCCTCTCCTTCCCCCTCCCTTTAAGCATGACAGAGATATGTACGTAAGTGATATGGGGCTCATGCCATGCTGTATCATGTAACATAAATGTGTGTTTCCACGCATTGAAGGTTTTTATACGGGCATAGATCCCACGTCATGTTGAAGACGCTTTGAGGGCTTCATACAGTCAGTAACGTGCAGTGGCTGTAATTCCGCAGGGTCATGCATGGACTTGCATGGCTTGAAGGCTTTAGTAGATTTGGGCGGAGCCCCCGCTTCTATGGTCGCAACGGTCGCGCAAGTGGCTCGAAAAGGACAGCTGCGTCTGTCTTTTCGAGCTTTGCACCCCTGAACTCAGCTGGACTGTGGACACCGCTGACTCCACTGGCTCCTCTGCACGACTGGAGGTACAACTCCAAATCCTTTGGTGGAGTGGACAACATCTTCGCCAACCTAGAGAGCCAGGACAGCCTCCCAGTCGTGTCGCCACCGTCCCTGTAGCATTCCCCTCTCACACCCTGGTGCAGGAAGACGTGGTGACGACTACGGACATTGGCTCTGGGGGGAGTGACCACCATGTCAGAGCCTGAACACGAAGCAGAACCCCTCTGAATAACGGAGTTCGTCAGACCTGCCGAAGCAGATCGAAGCCTTTAAGCCTTTAAGTCTAGGTCGCTCAGGGCTTAGGGAGCAAGACCTACGCTTGCCAGATTGCCAGGCGATTTCGGCGGTGATCAATGTGGGGCCAAGGCCACGTCGAGCCGAGGACCCGATGGGAACGTCAGCTGCAAGGGCCTGCGAGGGGCACTGTATAGAGAGAACTTAGTCCAGGGCTCGTTTCTCGAACCACTGGCCAGCCTTTGCAGGAATCACCGGAATCACCGCCAGAAGCCCCTGTGCCTGTCAAGGCCTGAATCTAGTGATTGTGACTGCACAAGCATGGAACCTGGGGCAAGCATGGCAGTGGGCATGCATCGGCTGCGAAGGCAATATGAGTTCCGCCTCGCCGCTAAGGAATTGAAAATGCATGCAACGAGCAAAACAAGCCCTGAGAGCCATCACGCCACACCTACTTCTGAGGGCGATGCGAGAACAGAAATGGCAAATGGAAAGAAAACCTCATCCATGTCTACTTGGCGGCGTGAGAGCAAAGTTGCATATAGCAAGAAATGACTCAGATGAGAAGAGATGCTCAGGCAAACTCACGGTACGGCAGAGGGGCCCTTCTTGATTGCCACTGCTTTTAACTAGTCCCATTAACATGGAGCCCGCTCTCAGGTGGCAGCAAGTGCGCGTGCCGCAAGTCAGGCCGCGGAGCCGGCGAAACGGGGGGGGGGGGGAGGAGAATTACTCCATGGGGAGGGTCAGTTGCAAGTCATGCAAGCCAGCGTTGAGCAAGCCAGTATTACCCAGCCTTTGCAGGAATCGCCGGCAGAAGCCACGATCAAGGCCTGGATCCTGCGCTTGACTGTGATTGCGCTTTCAACCTGGAAATGTACTGAGGCAAAGTCCGCGGACACAAACTGCCACACGGCCCAGCAAGGAGCAACCGGAGACCATGACGAGTAGACGTCACCATCTCATGCGCCTCGAGTCACTGAGCCAATTTGGGTGGAGAAGGCACGTCGCTAGACACTTTGCTCCTTGCGATGCAGGAGAGAAATGTTGGGACGAGGCAAACTGGGCGAAGACACAAGGTATCTTCGAGCATCCCGAGTGGAGAGCCGAGAAAGCAGAACTGCATCACTACCGTATATCCATCTGGGGACCCTGCGTGTGTTGTCATGCCCAGCATGTCGAGTTGGCCCAGGTGGTATCCGGGCCTCCAGCCTGATTCCGGCTTGGACAAGTTCCAGGCAGCGGTCCACAAGGAGACTCCAAACAAGTGTCCGCAGCCCAGCCGTGCAGAGATGTCTTGTGGCCAAGCCTCTCCAGCCTTGGGAGAACCGGAGGCCCGCAGCCCTGTGGCGTGCCCATTCAGGCAGGAGATATTGGGAACTTGGGAGATCGGGAGGGATGAGCGAGGAATGTGTCAGAGACGGCAGCGTGGCTTGTGATGACGGTGGGGTTACTGGGACTCAGTCCCTCAGGCCTCTGGCCTCTCGGGGTACTTATCGGGGTAATCTCGTCATCTTTGCTTGGGAAGCGTGGTGCAACCTGCTTTTTTACAGACATCGTTCCTATCTTGATTGTTAAAAGGTCTTTGAGTAAGGAAAGATGGCGGACTTGTTTCGCTGGTGCCAGCCCTCATTTTCCACAGACCTGTTGGGAGCCCATCTGCGCTCGCTAGCAAATACTATACGACGTCATGAAGGGACCGTCCCGGGGTAGAACGATTCGGTGCCGAAAGCTTGTGGGGTCACGGTCGGTGCGGAGGGTGGGGGATCCCTGGAAAACTTGCAAACAAGGAGGCTCAACAAAAAATCGCAAATCTGAAAAGTCCGTTGAAGGTTTGTTTGGATTGAGGCTCAAGAGAAGCAGCGGTTGAGGAGTGCGAACTCGGATTCCCCATAAACCGTTGTGGAACAGGGCGAGGGGGCTCAGGCAAGCCAGCATTGCCCTGCCGTTGCAGGAATCACCACGAAAAGACACACAACAGGCCTGGATCCTGTGATTGATTGTTGTTGCACCAATCAGAAACATGTCGGGAACCAAAAGCTTTCAATCTGCACTGAGGCGCAGCCCGCAGACACAAACTGCCACACGGCCCAGCAAGGAGCGACTGGAGCACATGACGACTAGACGTCACCATCTCATGCGCCACGAGTCACTGGGCCAATTTGGGTGGAGAAGGCATGTCGCTAGGCACTTTGCTCCTGGCGATGCAGGAGAGAAATGTTGGGACGAGGTAAACTGGGCGAAGACACAAGGTATCTTCGAGCATCCCGAGTGGAGAGCCGAGAAAGCTGAACTGCATCACTACTGTATATCCATCTGGGGACCCTGCGTGTGCTGTCATTCCCAGCATGTCGACATGGCCCAGGTGGTATCCGGGCCTCCAGCCTGATTCCGGCTTGGACAAGTTCCAGGCAGCTGTCTACAAGGAGACTCCTGACAGGTGTCCGCAGCCCAGCCGTGCAGGGGGCCAGGCGAGGGGCGAGGGCGTAGAATGCAGACGGTGCAGTCTTATCTCACACGAAGTCGAGAGCCTTCTCCGATTCGAGCACCAGAGGCCCGAAGCCCTGCGGCGTTGCGGGCTTGGACGAGCCTGCTCATGCTGGTTCCATCCAGGCATGTTGGGAGATGTCATGGAAGCTGAGACTGCGCTTGCTACGTTGGGGGTTGCAGCTGGCTCATTCCAGCTAGAGTTAGAGTCAGTTAGAGGCTCTCTGACTGTTCTTGCTCGCCTGCTTCTTGGTGTCAGGAAGGTTCCGAGTTCTCCGTCAACGTGCGAGGTTCTCAGGAGACCTGTGGCGCGAGTCAGAAGTTTTGCACGCAACTCCCTTCGTGGGCATGTCGAACTGTCGAACACCCAACATGTTAACCTTACACGGCGTGTCCCGGCTAACGTGTCACATAAACGTAGTATTCGTCTCGCCTTCCACCTCAGCTGTGTTTCCAGTCAGGCTTACAGCTGTCGCCACATCACGCCAGAGGGTTTCCAATGTTTTCTACGACTTCTTTTCAGTGCACTCCGGGAGCAGGCTGGACCATGCCCGGGGATCGGACGGCTGCCTCCTGGAGCCCCGAACGGAGTACACCGTGACGGGAGGCTGGTACCAGACCCATGGCTGCAGTTCCCACGAGGCAACGCAATGGGCTGCATCTAGCACCGTGGAGTTTCGTAGTTTATAGTGGCTTGCCATGCCATCTGAGGATGAGGAAAGGCGTCCAGGACGCTTCTTGAGGGTCAAGTCAACACATCCCGATTCCTGCGTGAGAGCCGCCAAACATCGGAACTACACGAACTTCTGTGCCCTAAAGATGCCTAAAGTGAAATTGAACCCGAAGCCAGGATCCCCGCGTTTGCTGCCAGCTTTGTGGCCAACAGGGCCAGTGCAAAGCCTGGCCACTCAACTGCCTTTTATCCATCACCGATCAGAGGTCTGTGGGCTTTAGCGAGCATGGGTTTACTTGCATGGTGTTCCGACCCCCGCCCTTGTTTCATGACTCTTGCCCTGGATCCTTCTTTTCAACTTCCCGACTCTCGCCTGGATACTTCCAGATGCTCACCCCATGAAGTCCCGAGATTACTTCCTGACGTATCCATCGACTCAATGGCTTCCCTGACTGTTCCAAGACTGAGCTCTGCTGGGCCTAGGAAGTGGACGGACTGGTCCGCCGAGGCCAAGGACTTTGCCTGCTTCCTCAGCCAAGGTACAGTCACCGGTGCCCTACCTGGAGCGGGGTTCGGGATGTTCGGGGAAATGAATCAGTATGAATCAGGGATCCCGAGGGAAGCAATGCTGGAAACAGGTTAGCTAGACCGTCCCCTAAGGCAAGCAGTTCAACGATGGCGCCGTGTCGGGCCTTCCCAAGCTGTCGGCCGGGTTTGGGGTGAGGGTGGAGAGGTTCCTGGCTTTGATGTTCTGCAGTGAGGGGTTGGCGGAGGATTGTTTGCGGCTTGGAAATCAGTAGGCGTTGAGCTGAAGCCTGCCACACAAGTACTCGATCAAGGCATAGGACGAAAGCTTCCAAGCGTCACTGTTGAAGCGCCTCTTGCCTTTCGGCACTTTTCGGAGTTCGCAGAGCCGCGAGAGGCCGAAGCCGAAGCCAAGCGCGCGATGCAGAGCGCCAGGGCCCTTCTGAAGTGAGAAACAGACGCGGGAAAAAAGGGAAGTCTGACTCTGTGAGACTCAGAGCCTGGAGAGCCCGGAGCGGAACCGGGGCCCCGTGTCTTGGGAAGATAACTCAGAGACTCAAAGCCCAGAGGGGGGCAGAGTGAAGAGAGGTAAAGACCTGATGCATAAGTGAACAGGGTTCGATGGTTTCGCTACTTCCAGGGTGCATCAATTCGGGAGCGCGAGGCCCCCTCAACGAGAGCTGTTCATTTCCATTTCGGCTGCCTCTCTGTCGGTTTTCCAAGAAGCCCGGCTGAGAAGGCCAGCGCTGCCACAGGTGCAGCCAAAGGCGCGCCAAGCATGCTCAGGAGCGCGAGCATTCAACTTTTGAGCCTCAGGGCAGGAAGTCCCCATTCCCTTTCAACAGATAGCCCTGGTCTCGGCCAGTCTGGGCCTCATCGTTTTAAAGAAACAGCGAGAGCATGCAAAAATGGCCCGAGCTGCATCAGAAGCATCGCACCTGGCTGGCATCTGCTGACCTGGACCTGACTCCTCGCTGCCAGTTTCCCCGCAACGGCACGGGCTACGACGTTGAGTTCTCTGGCATCGGCTTTGATGGGAGGGACCCCTGTGCTCTGAGGGTTGCGGTATGTTGCTGTCATGATATCGAGAGTCTGGCCGAGTACTGAACGTCATTGGGACGGGGGGGAAGGGGTTGTTTCCGATTTCTGACGGGCGAGTCCTAGCACTGGAATCCTGCATCAGGAGTACATCAGGATTGTCGACGATTATACGCGCTGTGGAAGTAAGTTTTCGGATCAGAACAGCAACTTGTCTGCAACGAGTTCTGTATCCGATCATGTGCAGACCGCCACGTTTCTGGGTGGCAGCAGCTCAAGCGGACTCAAGCGACGCTCAGCAACTTGTAGTGATCGTCGCCTGAGGTCTTGACATCACGGGCCTTCTTACGAACCAACCAAGCTTTGTCATGGACATGGGGCGCAAGATTAGGCCAGGATTGCTGTGCTGGGCTGTGATGGGAACAGGGAGGGCTGAGACAAGGGATCACGCCGGCAGCAGCTCCGTCAATATCGATGCCCCGCCCGCTCTACCTTCCCAGCCAGTATCTCGCTGATCTTTGCAAGTATCCAGGTGGCGAAACGTTGTCTTCCAAAGGCACCGACCCGAAATCCTTTCAATGAGTGCTGTGCTGGTTCACGTTTCAAGGCGTGTTTGAAGCTTGCTCATCTTGCTCGAACCCGGCCATGTCATTTCCAGTAGGTTGCTTTGTCGGCCTTGCCACGCGAGACAGAAGCTTGTTTGGGCGAGTGTATATGACATGACATAACATGACATCTCATCCTCTGAAACGAAGCGATCTCCGAATTTCTCCCAAAAGGCCGGCAGCCTACAGAGTCTGCTATTGCTACTGTGGTACGGCGCTCGGCAGAGAGTTGGGCCTTTGGACTGCTTCAACCGTGTGGAGTCCGGTTTGCTCCATGAGTGTGATTGCGTCTAACAGCGGTATTGCTGTGTATTTAGCCGCTTCCAGAATAAGTGAGATAACCCAATGCACCCACTGCGCACCAGAAGTAACATTAGCATAGGAAGCCAGCACCAGTGCGCAAATCGAATTCCCCAGCCAGCCGCAGCAACAGCACAGTCAGATCAGGTCCGAAGGTACTAGTAGCAAGCTTGGTCCTTATCCAGCGCTCTGAGGCGAGGGCAAAACTACCGCAGAATGTTGCCACCGGGGTGAGGAGACATGACACAGCTGCCTGAGGCGTAAGTGCATATGCTGCATACGTGCACATCACTTGGTGCTAAACTCGGTTGCGTCATTTTCGCAAAGGTTAAAGGGGTCCGAGGCTACGGGGCAGCCAGTCCGACTTTGGGGCGGCTTTTCTACTTGCAGGTACACGAGGTGTTTGTCAGAGTCTGGACCAGATACTTCTAGAAGGGACTTGGATTGAGTTTGAAGTTGATGTGTGAAGGCCGCGCGTTTATGCTGGGTTACTTGTAGGAAGGGGTGTTTGCTCAATGAAAGAGTGGTTCTGCCTCGTAGGAAAGAAGAACAGACCCAGGCCACACCTGCGAACCTCAGACCCGTGTTGTAGTGCTTCGGCCCTTCCGTCTCAGAGTTTCAAAGTTTCAATGGGCATGGACGTATCTTGCCTAAGACAGCCGACGCCCAGAGCCTGTCAGGAACCTGATTTAAGGCTGATTTTTCTGCTTGCAGTGCAGAAGCAGCAGAAGCACAGGACTTCTACACCGACATAGCCTCCATCTTCGTTGCCGGATCCTTGCAGGGAAGACACGGAGGCCAATGTAAGTTTTGCACAAGAGACTTCATGTTAAGGGGAACCCCGGCCAGCTTGCCGTTGAAATTCTGGGGGCTCCCAACCGAATGTGGCTGTGGCCTATGAGGCTAAAGCAGTTCCTCAACTTTCTCTCACGAAGCAGACTAGACTACCTGCAGACTTCTTGTAGCCAGCCCGAGGCCAGGAAATCAAGATCCCGGGTCGGATTGCTTGCTCTTGTTGTAGCGTGGGTCTAAGGCTGTGCCTCGGCAAGATGGCACGGCGCCGATGTCTGGATCTCAGGCTCAAGTGGTGAAACAGTGCAGCAGTTCGAAGCGAGAGCAGCCGACATCGAGGGAGTTCAACATTGGCAAGTGGCAGGAAGCAAAGTGCAGGGGAACACTGTGTCGTCGGCAAAGATGGGCGAGAGGCAGCCTCTCAGCGTTGCCAAGAGTGCACGCGTGAGTGGCATACTGTTGCGGTTCAGCACGGAAGGCAGACTTGATCACACAGACAGACACACCGTCAGAGAACACGAGGGGTCAGAAAGCAAGACTTTGCGAATCTCAGCACAGAGAGTAGGTCCCAAAGCAAGTCTCCCTCTGTCTCCTTTTTCCTAAGGCTCCAGGCTCCGAACGTGGTGCCCGACATGCGTCCGTGGCTGCCTTGGACGGAAATGCCCCCTGTGTCTCTACACATTCCTACACATGGCCTCTGAACAGCTGCAGTGCAGTCGCTCCGGGAAGCGTGGAATTGTAACTACTTGCCACTTGTCTCTCCAACCGAGAAACTGTAGGAGGGGAGGTTGCCGACTCGTGCTGGTGAGGCAGAACCAGTCTGTGCCTTGATTCCAGGATGCTGCCTCCTCCTGGTCAGTGGGGCGTCTTCCCCAAGGACTGGACCCGCGTGCGAATGCTTTTCAATCAAGACTCCTGCGACACAGAGAGGCGCCAGTCTCAAGATTGCGCCACATTGCGCCGGGTGACATTCTTTGGAGTGGCATCTTATGTGCATCTGTGATCAGGACATAACGCCAGAACCTCGGTGCTGGCTTGCGTGCCTTTTGCGACGCCTGCTCGTAGTTCGCTCATCACGTGCTGTTCTGTGATTGCGACGGCGACGGCAGCCTCTGTTTCACCGGGCTTGTTTTGCTTTGATGACTACATGATTCATAGTTTGGCCAGCAAGGCTGGCTCATGCCGGCTTCATCGGGCTTCCACGCATCTGGGACTGAGGCGGAGAATTCGCATTCGGCCCAAAACTCGGCCGACTCCTGCGCACGCCGGCTCGGTGGGTCCCATCGAGGCCAACATGTGCACAACCTGTCGATTGGTGAAGACTGCAGTTCCGCAGCATCCATGCATGCAAATGGGTGCCGATGTACCGATGTTAACAGGTCAAGATCTTTCAAGCTTGGCCATCGCCAGCGGCTCAGCATGTAGGATTGCCGGGCCACATTTCTCAAGCCTCAGACATCAGTCGCCCCCCCCCCCCCCCCCGCCCAAGTGGCGAAGATGAGGCTGACGACCCTTGCCACGTTCGAGCTGACGGACCTTGTTACTGGCCAGCTCCAGGGTTTCGAAAAGGCGCAGCTCGATGTCACAAATTCTGTGAGAACAGAGGTTGAGGTTTTTGGGTTCTTGCTGGCTCTTGCTTCCGAGGTTTCTGCAAATTCATCCCTGCGTGGTCGTGCAAGTGCAACACATGGGGCTTCTGGAACTGGAGCCTCAAAACATCGTGCTTGGGAGCGTCAGAGTGGAGTTGAACGTACGGCGTGCCCGGAGAGTGAAGATGAATGTGTACATATATAAACAGCTATGCACGTATCTATGTGGATCGGCTTGTCGGTATGTCCAGCGGGGTCTGTGTCCGGGCAGGCTTGTGACAGAGTAACAAACTTCATTGAGCCTCCAACCTTCGTTGAACCTCCAATCCACTTCTGCCTGCTGACAGCCCGTCCTTCTGGATGTGAACATGAACCCCACTGGCATCGAAGTGATCAGCCATTCGCTGGGCCCTCGGCAGGATCAGGTGGCAAAGTAGCAGTCATAGTTGGTTGACGGCAAGCCACCTTCGTCACAGTGGTAGCATGGTGCCATAGTGGTTGTAAAGACGTCGACATGAGGATGGATGCCTGGTACGGGGAATGGATCGAGGTGGAGATCGAAGGCACAGTGTTTGTAGTTTCAAAGTTGAAAAGTGCTGCCTATGTAGTCATGTGTAGTCCTGCTCAGCACGCCGGTCTCCACAGTTGAAAACCGCAAATAGTCTGGTGCGCAGGACTGGGCACGCACCGCTTTCAGATGGAAGGATGGACTGCCCAGCACTCGGGTCTTGACAGGTGTTTAGCGCGGGTAGGTTCTAGTAATTCTATGGTGAGATGGGGTGGTTTGCCCGCGCTGCATCGGGAAGCATCGTGCAAACCTCGTTTGGACGGCGCAGGCGCGTACTTTCGGGGCTGTCTGCACTCCGTAACTCGCGCCAATGCACGCGGCGAATTTCTGAATTCGATGTTGAACATGTGGACGTTTTGTTTCGTCGAAGCTGCTCTTCCCCTTAGAACGGTGGCATTTCAGCGTTTCCCGGCTGCAAGAACTGTCGGTGCAAAAACGCTTCTTTTTTATGCTTCAAGGCCCTGAATCTTGCCCCAACCGCCCGCTTCTGTTTTGAAGCCGTGCAAAGCGTGCTTCACAGCCTACGAATCTTGCTGCAACCCGTCGTAAGAGCATCGTG